CACAACATATAAAACAAGTGGACTCTAGAATACCTGCAAAGCTTTCTCAAGGTCACTCAAGAGACTAGTTATATATGAATCACCTAAAGAATAGATGAAAGGGATGTATTAATTAAACTAGTCAAGAATGGCATTCTTTGACAAGGTCCAGCACATGAAAACTAACATGTATGCTGTTGATAGGACAAATGTGCAGCTCCTTGATTGCTAGACATGGTTGCCTTTTCCCAATAAACAATTGGCAGATGTAGTACAGGCTACAGCAGCCAGGCCACGTTAATAGTAAGATCTAGTCTACCTATGAGACACCTAAATATGCCATAAGTTAAGACGTCAAAATAAGTTATTTCAAATCATGTGTATTAAAAAATTATAAAAAAAAACTACTTAAAATCTCGTGACTAGGCCATAAGAAACTCTCAGTAAGAATCTGCATGCAAATGGACACAATTGCAAGTTTCAGGTACCCTATCTAATAAATTTATAAACACCATATAGAATAAAACAAGAAACAATGTAACAAGTGGCATGAAAACGTTAAAAAGCATAAGCGGTCTCCAATCTGTACAAGGGGTGCATATGTAACAAGCTACCAATCACCTTTTTCTAGATTATCGAGTAGCTCCTCCGGACAAGGTATATAAAAATATGGCAGCACCTGAACACCAAAGAGAGAGTGGATATTTATTTACAAACTAGTTGAAACAATCAGGGACTGATGAAATAGCTTAAGACGAAATCATATGGAATATGTAGGTGGACAACTGAAGTATATATACTTCACACATTAGGGATTCCAAATACTAGAGGTGAGAACAGATCATCATCTGACAGTCAGGAGAGTCTGATTGCAAAGGAAAATAGTAACATACAGTAATCTTCAAATACAAAGAAACCTAGATGCCTCCATGGACATGAACTTGGCAGAACAAAACTGAAGTTATGCCTGAATTTCAGCCCAGGCCGGCCATTCAGTGAAAAAGTTAGCAGGGAATGCACGGGCATTGAGCTGGAATTCTTAAGTTAGTACAGCTAATGAACAACCACCAATCTAAATCAACAAATGAAATGACCACGAGCTACTGATGGACCCAAACAACAGCATCCTAGACAGCCCAGTTTGGTGTGGTACAGAGAGCAAGTTCCCTCCAAATTTTCAAATTCAAATCCAAACAGGGGGAATCACACGCCCGAACCGTGCCACACATGCCCCGCGATGGAAGACGAGCACCGAAAGGCTCGGGGGCCAAAAACAAATGTGCAGAGACAGAGGCAGGACGTTGGGAGAGAAGAAGCTGGGTGGTACGCAGTTATGCACCCGGTGGATGTGGAGGCAAGTCTTCTGGCCCGCGGGGGTGGAGCCGTAGATCCTGACCACCGGCACCTCCTCCACGCCGTCTCCTGCTCGGCAGCGAGTAAAATTCAGCGGAAGACAGTGGAACGGTGGATGAAGGAGAGGAACGGTGGGGGCGGTGAGGGAAGGGGAGCGCACCGTGGAAGGGGCTGCGGGAGAAGCCGAAGCCCGGGAGGGGCGGCGCCATGTAGTAGTCGAGCGAGACGATGCGGACGCTGAGGATCGGGGAGGGCGTCCCCGGCGTGCAGGGCTCCGGCGACTGCGAGGACGACATGGCCGCCGGGGCGGGGGCGGGGACGCGTGTGCTTGCGTTGCGGGAGCGGTGCTGTCAGTGGGCTGACTCGAACGAGGCCACGCGAGGCTCCTTCCGCAGCACACTACCGGTCGGTGGTGGACTGGACTGGACCGCGGATCTCTCTGTGGGCTGGTCTGGGCTGAGCTGGCGGGTTGAGTAGGCCGCGGGTCCTGCCAGCGCGCGCTGGTGCTTGGACGAGTAGGGCCCTCGCTTTTGGCCCATGTATCGGGTTGCATGTACTAGTACTGGGCCTGCGGGTCAGTCCAAACAAAAAGGTCACCGACCGAGAGGGAGTCAAATACTAGTAGTGAAGTCTCGGATTCATGGCTGCGACACTGTCCACTTTTACACCATCCACATGACGCGTCACTGGCTCATCGGTGCACTGTTTCTTCAAGTAATCAACCAGCTGACGGCTGTCTGTATGTCACTTGTCACATGTACAGCTAGCGCGATCGGTGGAGGAGATAAATAAATATTTACGGCTCTTCTTTCTCGATCGAACGAACTCGCTCGAGGTTACGTTCGAGAGCGACGACAACTACCGCTACCAAGGCAGTTATCAGGTACTCACAGAGTCACTAGCGTAAAACTCGCGACGACACTGACGTGTTACACGTCGTCGGTGCGTGCGACCGATATTACTAACCGTACGCGTGTTCCGATGCCAAACGAAAGCACACAGCTGCACTGTGGGCTTTTTATTTTATTTCGATCGCGCATGGAACGAACGACATGCATGATGCATGCACTGCGGCAATTATTAACTTTCTTCTCGAACCATCCATCCAGCAGACACGTACAAGTGTACATCAGGGTTCCAAGCTAGCTAGCTACTGGCCGGCCGGTATATATATACGTATAAAGTATAACGAATAATTATGGAAACTACGTATAGTATAGTAGCTAGGAGTCCGTAGTAATCATGGCGTCGTGATTAGCAGGTCATCAGCTGCTGAGCATATCCCGCGGGCCCCTGCACCTGCATGCAAGATATGATGATCCTGGGAGGCAGCCGGCAGGGGCAGGGCAGGCACATGATCGAGACCGAGCCAGCCAAACACTAGTGGTTGCCCGACCTGCTACACCATTCCTATTAGTCAGAGCCTTACAAGGGACGACGGCTGGCCGGTTATCTTACTGGAACTCTGGAAGCTCTCGCCTAGCAGCTGGTCGATCATGTCACCTCCCGAAAGCGACCTCACACCTCTTCAGCATCACAAGCGTGACCACGTTTACGGCCGGCTACGGGCGTGCTTTGTTTTTGCTAGATACTGTTTCACATCGCCAAGCAAGCAAGACTAGTCGTCGGGGCGAGCCAAATTAGCTCTCCAGCCGCGGCACAGAAGAAGCGCCAGAAGTAAAGGAGGAGGATAAGGCGGTGGCATTGCTCGACCAACCAAGCTCCAGCAGGGCCGGGCCCCAGACGCTGCCTACGGCGACGATGGCTCAGCTGGCCCCTCTGCTCTCGGCGTGCGCTTGCTCCCGTAGAAGGAAGTGCGGGCAAGGTTTATTTGCTCGCGCTCATCGCTTCCGTCCAGGAGTATAACGCTATGCCCAAAAATTCCAAATCGATGTTAGCTTTATTTGAATTAGTATGTTCTTGACAACCTAAATTTGAAGTCCTCGACACTAGGAGCAACCTTGTCGTCATCGAATCCAAGCTCTAAACCATCAATCCGAGCGCAGTCTACCCTCTACGGCATCAAGCTTTTCCGCATGGAATCGATGAGCATACCACAAAAATTGATACCGTACGTACTATTGGGGTTAGCGAGGAAATCACTGCGGAATCACCAAACTAAGAGGTCCGCTCCCGAATCAAGTCCACCACACGAATTATCCCTTGCCACTGGCTATAGAGTCTTCTTTCTCTCTTGTCTTAATTTGATCCCCCTCTGTTCGTGCTTATCTCCTGCTCCGCCTCTCCTTGTGTCAACGACAAATGGCCCCACTGGTTTGCCAAACAAGAAAGAGAACACGGCAAAGGAACAAAGCGAGGCTATCTTGGCGAGCCAAGGCGAGCCTGGTAAGAGTTCCAAGCATGCCCTACTTTACACGGATGATCTAACTAGCTAGTTACGCGCTCACTTTGTTCCAAATTTAAAGTCATTTCACTCTTTTTAGTTTTTAAGATACAGTTTTTACCTAGAAAGAGGGAGCGTGTGGGTAGGGTTATAGGAGCTCATCCACTGGAATTAAGGGTGATGGGAAGAACTTGGTGGATCTGGCGAGGAGGCAATAGACGGCGAGAAAGGTGCCACCCCATGGGGAGGCAGAAGCGGATGAGAGGGCGACGACATATATGGAGGAGATGGTGACAGCGGGAGGGAGGTCAAGCAGAAGGGAGGGCAATGGCCAAAGGCGGAGGAGAAGTGATGGGCGGAGCTTCTGGGAGGCACGGACGGCATGGAGGAAGGCACATCCGCATGGGAAATGAACAGCCTGTTTCGTTGTATACGATCGTGGATTATAAGCTGGAATAGTATTTTTCTCTCACACCAAACTAGTCAGCAGTAAATAATCCACGATCGTTTCAGCCGAAACGAACAGGCTGAAAGTGCGGTGGGAACAGTGTTCGCCTAAACGGATTAAACGGCCAATAAACAGTAAACGGTGGTAAAATGTTTTGTTTAGGGGGTAAACGGAAATTAAACGGTTGACCGTTTAAACGGTTAAAAAAGGGAAAAACAGCCTAAACGGAACGGACATAAACAGCATTAAACGGGCTAAACAGTTGTTTAAACGGCCGTTTAGACGAATACGAGGTAAATCTAGTTCAGTTTTGTATGGATAAATTTGTATGCTTAAGTTTATTATATTTATAAATGTGTACACTTGATATGTTACATGCATAAATATATATATTTGGTTCTTTTCACATACATAAATATATACATATACCAAAATAATTAATTTTTACTCGGATAAATATGTATAAATGCTAGAATACTTGATTTTTTACATGCACGTATATAATTAGGGGAAATTGGCTGGCGGACACCCACAACGGTCGTCGTTCGCTGACGGACACCCAAAGTGGAGTTGTATGCTAGAAGACACTCTAGTTTATTGTAATTATGCCAAAGAACACCGCGGGTCGATTTTCACCGGTTGAGGAGAGAAAAATTCAGTTTGGACATCCGGTGCCCTGAGCCACGTTTGGTCTGGTCCAACCAGACCACGACGAAGCGGTACAGCAGGAACGACCGGCTGTCCGTGATCCGGTTCGCCATCTATCGGTGCTGTCAGACTGACCCATGTGCGCGCCCCTGCAGGCATCTCAACGCCGGAATCTTCGGCACCGGCAACGATGGCCACACGCTGCCATCAGAGGTCGTCCGCGCGGCGATGCTGGTGCGCATCAACACCATCCTCCAGGGCTACTCCGGCATCCGCTTCGAGATCCTGGAGGCCATCACCAAGCTGCTCAACACCGGGGTCAGCCCGTGCCTGCCACTCCGGGGCACCATCACCGCGTCGGGCGACCTGGTCCCGCTCTCCTACATCGCTGGCCTCATCACGGGCCGCCCCAACGCGCAGGCCACCACCGTCGACGGGAGGAAGGTGGACGCCGCCAAGGCGTTCAAGATCGCTGGCATCGAGGGCGGCTTCTTCAAGCTCAACCCCAAGGAAGGTCTCGCCATCGTCAACGGCACCTCCGTGGGCTCCGCGCTCGCGGCCACCGTGATGTACGACGCCAACGTCCTCGCCGTCCTGTCCGAGGTCCTGTCCGCCGTCTTCTGCGAGGTCATGAACGGCAAGCCCGAGTACACCGACCACCTCACCCACAAGCTCAAGCACCACCCGGGGTCCATCGAGGCCGCCGCCATCATGGAGCACATCCTGGACGGCAGCGCCTTCATGAAGCAAGCCAAGAAGGTGAACGAGCTAGACCCGCTGCTCAAGCCCAAGCAGGACAGGTACGCGCTCCGCACGTCGCCGCAGTGGCTGGGCCCCCAGATCGAGGTCATCCGCGCCGCCACCAAGTCCATCGAGCGCGAGGTCAACTCCGTCAACGACAACCCGGTCATCGACGTCCACCGCGGCAAGGCGCTGCACGGCGGCAACTTCCAGGGCACGCCCATCGGCGTGTCCATGGACAACGCCCGCCTCGCCATCGCCAACATCGGCAAGCTCATGTTCGCGCAGTTCTCCAAGCTCGTCAACGAGTTCTACAACAACGGGCTCACCTCCAACCTGGCCGGCAGCCGCAACCCCAGCCTGGACTACGGCTTTAAGGGCACGGAGATCGCCATGGCCTCCTACTGCTCTGAGCTCCAGTACCTGGGCAACCCTATCACCAACCACGTCCAGAGCGCGGAGCAGCACAACCAGGACGTCAACTCCCTGGGCCTCGTCTCCGCCAGGAAGACCGCGGAGGCCATCGACATCCTGAAGCTCATGTCGTCCACCTACATCGTGGCGCTGTGCCAGGCCATCGACCTGCGCCACCTCGAGGAGAACATCAAGACGTCGGTGAAGAACACGGTGACCCAGGTGACGAAGAAGGTGCTGACCATGAACCCCTCTGGCGACCTCTCCAGCGCGTGGTTCAGCGAGAAGGAGCTCATCACCGCCATCGACCGCGAGGGCGTGTTCTCGTACGCGGAGGATCCGGCCAGCGCCAGCCTGCTGCTGATGCAGAAGCTGCGCGCCGTGCTGGTGGACCACGCCCTCAGCAGCTGCGACGCGGAGCGGGAGCCCTCCGTGTTCTCCAAGATCACCAAGTTCGAGGAGGAGCTCCGCGCGGTGCTGCCCCGGGAGGTGGAGGCCGCCCGCGTTGCCGTGGCCGAGGGCACCGCCCCCGTGGCGAACCGGATCACGGACAGCCGGTCGTTCCCGCTGTACCGCTTCGTCGTGGTCTTGTTGGACCAGACCAAACGTGGCTTAGGGGCACCGGATGTCCTGAATTTTGCGGTGTCCTCTGGCATAATTACTACAAACTACAACTCTACTTTGGCTGTCCGCCAGCAAACGAACACCACTGTGGGTGTCCACCTGCCAATTTCCCCATATAATTATATATATTTTTAAAAAAATATATAAAACCGTTTAGACCGTTTAACTTCGTTTAAATACCGTGCAAACAACGGCTTCTCGGTTTACGGTTTCAATAGTGTAAAAAATAAGAAATGCTGCTTCGTTTGGTACGGTCTTAGTTTAAAATAGAAAAGTTGTCCGAGAAGTAAATCCAAAAAAAATCTCTATAGGTAAATATAACGTGTTTCTAGATACATAACAAAGCTATATATACTCGAAAAAGCTCAAATAATCGAAGAGAGAATGTAGTATACAGAACCAAATTGACCCAAGGATCTTAAGTTCTTAATAGAGTGGATATAGTGGACACCTGTGTTCCCACTATTTAATTTCCAATATAGTGCTCCCCTATTATACAACAGAGAATACATACGTAGCATCTGCATGTACGCATAGCCCATCGATGTATATATATATATAACACTATACCAAACTTAATCGAACAACTGTACACGTTAGTTTGACCTTTTGCATGTGTCCTAAATCATACATCTCCTTTATAGTTACAAACAGAAAAGATAGAGAGCCTATTCGCTAGTTGGTTTCTGGGCTGATAAGATTTCGACTGGTATTGGTTTGTTGTGAGAGAAAAACACTGTTGACTGGCTGATAAGCCCTAGCTGAAATCAACGAGCGAACGGGCTGAATGGGCTGAGAATGACAATGTGACATCGACATTTCTGTCCAGCGCCCAAACTGATCGAAAACGAACTCTGCAGCCGTATCACATAAATGGTCTAGAGGAAATAGTGTTTGAGCATATTCTTGTTCATATCACCCTCGTTTACTTTAATTTAGGTTGACATTTTGGAAAAGAAAAAAGGAAAGGGAGAGAACACAACCTAATCCTATGACGATGAACTTTATATTATTCAGAGCAACATGCATATGGTTACTAATGTCATCTCCTTTTTAGAATAAAATGACCAAATTTCTCCTGTAAAATCATCTTTTCAATCTCTTTAGATTGGGGATATCAGGATTCAGGAAAGAAAAGTGAGGTTCTGTTATCAGGAAAGAAAAAAGGCAGATATATCTTTATACTAATTACAGTTGTTTTCTCGAGCCCAACCCCTTTGATTGACAACGCAACCACCTCAACTCAAACTAGGGGTATCCTTTCCCAAGGAACATTTCAACCGCACTATAAAACACCCAAATTTGCCAACCAATAGTTTGGACCTCCGCTACCAGCCCAAAGTCCCGCTTTTGTTTATTACGCTTCCCCAGTCTTCACTTCCCCTCCCCCTTTCTCTCTTTCCGGCGGGGCGGCCGGAAATCTCCCCAAATTCAGCTGGTTTCACGGGAGAGATCGGCCGGTGGAGGGGAAAGGACGAGTCTTGAGCTGGATTTCTTGGCGGATTGGCTGGCATTCGCAGGAACTGTGTGTCTGTGTTCAGGAACGGGGAGATGAGCTGCTTACCGTGCTCCGGTTCGTCGGGGAAGGAGACCAAGAGCTTGGCGGCGCTCTCGCCGACGCCCCGGCCTGCGGCGAAGGCGGCACCAGGTAAAACCCGTGTCTTGTGCTGCGCGCTTGTTCGATTTTGGCGGAAACTGCAAGAGCTCTGATGTTCTGTGATCCCGCCTCTTGCTCTGTTCGGTCAGCTACAGCTGTCTGCTACTTGCGGTGACTGATTCGCTGCTCTAGGCATGTAGTTGTGTGCGACAAAGGCTGTTTTTTTTAATGGGAGCAGATAAAGGCTGGATTTTTTTTCCCTTTTGTTTGCAGCAGAGGTGTAGCTTGCTTACTAGTAATACGCAGCTGGAGCTGTTGATTCAACGAAGTAAACAAGGAATTGAGTGTAATAGTTGCTTCTCGCGGTTTTGATTTATCGATCTTAGCAGCGAGGATTCACTACATGAGTTGTGTATTTGTTTTTTTAAATTTTATGGACAAATTTTGCTAGCAGAATGTTAGTCCGATTGTTAATTGATCGTTATAAGTAATTCATGGCTTTACATATGCGAATGTTACTATGGTCCAGTTTAGTTTGCAAAAAAATTTGTAAAATTTTTCATATTCCCCGTCACATCGAATCTTTAGACGTATGCATGAAACATTAAATATAAATAAAAAATAAAACTAATTACACAGTTTAGACGAAATCCACGAGACGAATCTTTTAAGCCTAATTAGACTATGATTAAACACTATTTGCCAAATAACAACGAAAACGTTACAGTACTCATTTTGCAAAATTTTTTGCATCTAAACAAGCCCTATGTTACTTCCATTGTTTGCTCAGATAGTGGTGAAGGGGATATAAAAAAGCACCACTTCTTATAAATTTGACTTGACTTTTTCTCAAGAGGTGGAGTGCAAGGGAAGGAAATTTCCGTGGTGAAGCCTGTAGTTACAATAATTTCGTTTATGGAATTCTATCTCGAGCAAACCAAACGGCAATGGTTCCATGTGTTCTGTACACGTGTTGTCTGACTGAATACGGCTTGCTTTGAGTGCAAGGGAACGGCAATGGTTTCAAGTCGGGTTCACTCTTTGTGTGGCTGGTGGAGCGAGTGACTAGTTCCACACACACGTAGGCCCTGTACGTTTTTTTTATAATCCGTACTTTTTAAATTTAGGTCCTGTTTGTTTTTTTTATAATCTATACTTTTCAGCTTATTTTTTCAGTCGGAATAGTATTTTTCTCTCACAACAAATTATCTAGAACAGTGTTTCGGCTTGTTTTTTCAGCGAAGCGAACGGGGAGCCTTCTTACAACCTGTTCGTTTCGGTTGAATTGGCTTATAAGCCATGGTTGAAAGTACTGCTGATTGGTTTGGTGTGAAAGAAAAACACTGTCCAAGCCATGGATTATAAGCCAGATACGAGCGAATAAGCCAAAACGAACAGGCTATTAGTGGCTGTTTGGTTCCTCCTCCTAAATTTTAGTCGCTGTCCCATCGGATGTTTAGACATATGCATAGAGTATTAAATATAGACTAATTACGAAACTAATTGCATAACTTGTGACTAATTTGCGAGATAAATCTTTTAAGCATAATTAGTCTATAATTTGACAATGTGGTGCTACAGTAAACATGTGCTAATGACGGATTAATTAGGCTTAAAAAAATCATCTTTCGTGGAGTACTGACGGATTATGTAATTTATTTTTTATTAATATCCGAACACTCCATGCGACACCTTCATTTGACACCTCCTAATTTTTAGTCACTCGATCAAAACACCCTTAGTCGCTGGACTTGCAAGTCTTATCGTTGATTTCAAGGCAATCTATTGTTCATTTGTTTGTTGTGTGTGCCTGCTGCATTTTGTTACCCATCTGCAGACCGAGATATCTCTTGCATTAAATAACTGTCAGAAAAATTGATGGAAGTTTTTAATGCCAAGAGCACTTGACGGTCCACTTGGGTTAATTTTTCTCAGTCGCATTGAAATGCAGAAGTAATGAAGATGCTAGTCAAATTCCTAGAAGTGATTATATTATTAGCTTTCAAGTTTTTATCATACACATGGCTACTCATATTACAAATCAAGGCATAAGGCGACAAACTTGAGTTGATGTGAGCTGCCCGACATTTCTGTTGGAAAGAATCCTAGAGTTTGTTTCCATCTCCAATTATCTCTAAACATACATATCTTTATTTACAACAATTTCTTATCTGGTTGAAGTATTTAACAATTTAAAGCTAGGTAGGATAATTGGAATATGTTAGGAGTGTTATTAATACCACACTGAATGTGTGGGTGCAACCCTGTAGTAGTACCATGCCTCCCCACCAACTTCACTGTGCAGTGTGTTAATACCACACAGAATGCATGGATGCAACAGTGGAGTAATCAATAACAGATTGAATTTTGTGATAGGTCTAGGAATCTCGCAAGTAGCATCCTGATCCATTTCTTTGTCCATGTTTTTCTGTATGTCTGAGCTGTGTGATTTATCTGTATTGATGAAAGCATAAGCATTAGTGAGGATTTATATGCTAACTTTTATCTTTCCAATGGATCAGTTCGATCAAATTCACGTGCTTCGGGCTCCAGGAAGGAAGATTCTGTGCCTGTTCGCAGAGGAGGAAACATTGCACATGGCCCGGCACAGATTTTCACTTTCCGGGAGTTGGCTGTCGCTACCAAGAATTTCAGGAAAGATTGCCTATTGGGAGAAGGTGGCTTTGGTCGTGTGTATAAAGGACGCATGGAAAATGGACAGGTTTGCTAGCATTTGCTAATTTTGTTTTAATTTCTGTACACTGCAAATTTGGATATAAATCTCACTACTAAGAAGAAAAGGGAGAAGTCCCCTGACTGTTCTAATCGGTTGGCTGCCTGACACCTTCATTTTTCATCCTCAATCTTGCCCAGGTCATTGCTGTGAAGCAACTTGATAGAAATGGTTTTCAAGGAAATCGTGAATTTCTTGTGGAGGTTCTCATGCTAAGTCTCTTGCACCATCCTAATCTGGTCAGATTAATTGGCTATTGCGCAGATGGTGACCAGCGCCTCCTAGTTTACGAATATATGTTATTGGGATCACTAGAAAATCATCTTTTTGGTAAGTTGCACACTTGCACCATATTATAGCAACTGCTAAATAGATCATGAATTGAAGATTTCCCTTAGGATCCAAAATGCAAATATTTCTCTTTGCTTCAGTTTACATTTTTTTTACAGAATTGATTTATAACTTGCTACATTCAAACGTGAAAGATCCTAGCTACAGTATTCTCTACCATCAATGTTGTGTTACTGCTGACGCCATCCATAGCAATATCTAGACACTACCATCCATATTCTTCTTTTGTAACTCATGATATCACTTTCTTGGTAGGTCCACCAGACAAGGAACCTCTTGACTGGAATACAAGGATGAAGATTGCTGCCGGTGCAGCGAAGGGTCTGGAGTATCTTCATGATAAGGCAAATCCACCAGTCATATACAGAGATTTCAAATCATCAAACATTCTGCTCGGTGAAGACTACTACCCTAAGCTGTCTGATTTTGGGCTTGCAAAACTTGGTCCAGTTGGTGACAAAACTCATGTATCAACACGAGTTATGGGAACATATGGATATTGCGCTCCTGAATATGCCATGACAGGACAGTTGACATTAAAGTCTGATGTTTACAGCTTTGGTGTTGTGTTCCTTGAACTTATTACAGGCCGCAAAGCAATCGATCACACCCAGCCTTCAGGGGAGCAAAATCTTGTTGCATGGGTAGGTTTAACTGCACCAAGTTATTCCATCCATTTGATTTAGGGAGGGGAATGATCTTTTATTTCTTCACATGTGCCAAGTGTCTGATCTCGACAAAATTTGCAGGCTCGTCCACTTTTCAGAGACCGAAGGAAGTTCTGCCAACTTGCTGATCCATCGCTGCAAGGTCGGTACCCCAAAGGGGTTTGTACCAGGCTTTAGCTGTTGCAGCTATGTGTTTGCAGGAGCAAGCAGCATCTCGACCGCTGATAGGAGATGTTGTAACTGCACTATCTTATCTAGCTGCACATCCGTATGATCCAAATGTGCCTTCCACAAAGGATTCCACGACCTGCCCATCTACCCCAAGGGCAAAAACACACCGACGGACCACCAGTGTTCCTGATGCTCAACATGCTGCTGAGTCGCTTATGTTGAACTTCCCAGGCTTGAGGAAGGATACTGTCAGAGGAGGGAAATTCGAGAAGGATGGTACTCAAGGTTCTGGCAGCAGCAGTAGCTCTGGAAGGAACGATGGCCTGGATGTTCCACAACTTCTGGCTGTTCCTAACAGCAAAGCTTGCGGTGAAGGTGATAACATTCAGAAGTCCACTGTTAAGGTTGGTGCCCGTGAGAACTAGAATGCAGAGCCAGGCAAATTCTGCGGGCAGCTTCGATAGCACATTCGATGGATGGATTAGACCATTCTTTCCATGTTTGCTATCAATTTTGCCAGGAATCTTCATCGCTTGGCGTGAGTCTTTTATGAAGCGGACTATTGTCGAGAGTTGAGTAGTAATACTGCAGCAGCCAAGCCTGGTCTTGCAGATCTGGATAACCTCATGCTCCACGGTTGGTTTTTAGTTGCCTCCATGGAACAGTTCTACAATTCTTCCAGGTTTTAGACGAAGATGCAGGCTGATGAAAGGAAGAACTATTCTGTCGCTGAGATTCAGACCTTAGACTCTTAGAGTGTGCATTTTGATGAGAATCGGCTACATTCTGAATGTCACCCACACCCAGTGTGCATTTTGATGACAATCGGCTACATTCTGAATGTCAGTATGCGTCATTCAGGAATATGGGCGAGTTTTCTTGTTTTGTCCATGTAGGAAGCACGATTTGTGCGACAACGTGCTGACCTGCTGTAAATGGGTTGTTTGTAAGTAGAGCTGTCCATAGATTTTTTTTATCCCCTTAGTCGGTATGATGTAATGGGGTGATTTGCAGACATGTCCGGTGTAGCTCTTTAGTCTGTACAGAAAAAAAAGGTTGTTCGATTTTTGTTTGCTTGGTATTGTAACATTGACTCATCATATACTATTGTACGAATGGGGAAGAACGCTGATCCTTGTGGTTGGACGCCGCTTCTCTTTGGTTTTAATTGGAGCGATTTTTTTTTTCTGAAACTTAACTGGAGCGATTTGGAATGGCATAAGGAAGAAGCGAAGGGGGAAACCCCGGACAAATTCTTCTATCTGAACTGGCTGCACAGGCTGTGAGCAGTTCGAAACCAATCAAGCTACCTATCTAGGTAAATACAATGAATCACTAAGTGCCCAATTGGTAGTACCAGGGGTAGTATTTTTATCCGGACTGCCCAATGATCGAATCAAATCAACCATGGTCACCTCATGCGCATCGCAGAGCACGTTGGCCTCGTCGTACCACTGCCACGCCTTCTTGAGCTACTTTTCATTCATAGAACAATGTTTTTCTCTCACAACATTTCAGCATAAGAATCAGCATAAACCAAATTTCAGCATAAGCGTACAGGGTTAGAAGTTCTTGATCAGGTCCGTCTGTATATCTACCTGTTATGAACGACGTATAGGAATATGAAGTAAAGAATCAAGCCACAGAGGAGACACACGATTTAACATGGAAAACCCCTCCGATGTGAAGGGGAAAAACCACAGGCACCAGCCAGCAACAATCTCACTATCTCAAGAGTTTTGGGTTACACACCTATGGCGGCTTACAAGAGAATCAAGTCTCCACGAAACCCTAGCAAGAGTGTATACCATATACAGATTGCATGGGGGCTCGCCCCGCACCTTCGAGCTGTGGGTGAGACACGATGGGCGGCCAGACTCCGCTACGCTCCGGCGACGGGCCCCCGCTCCGCTCCGTCAGAAACCCGACCTATATCCTGGAGTGAATTTGGAACAACTCCAACACTACCTGTACAGCCGCATTCTATGTTGCTGCAAAATATATAGATACAAGTATAGAATGTGGTTATTTTATGTTATTGCAAGTTTACATACATCGTGTATATATATTTACAGAAGCAATCCCTATCATCCAACAACATAAACCGATGATCTTCCTTTCTTTCTTATGTACACCTACAGTCACATGTTTACATCATGGTCTGATTCTCTTTGTTACAAGAGATGAAGCTGGATTTATTTCCTTTATCTAAAAAAAACATCCCAATCTGGCTGGACTATAATAGAGAAAACAAGGCTCGCCTTCTTCGCTGAACAATTTCCATTACATTAAGAAGAGGCTGCTTCTTCTCTGAATCTTTTTGGACAAAAGGAATGCTCCGGCTAACTAGAACTGCTCCGATCTGTTTGTACACTAGGTTCAACAATGGAGACGTCGATATCGTGCTTTGTCATGATGATGTTGCTGGCTAGCTCCTGTTGGAATTGCCTAACGCTTTGTGCTGTGATGATTCTACAGGTGCTCCAATCGTCCGCTTCCATATCGACTCCTAGGTAAGTGAAATGATCCTGAATCCTCAAGCTGAACATGGAGAGGCACCTAGTATCATGGAAGCGAATGTTAGAACAAAAGCCGACGAGAAACCAACGAAGATCTCCCACTTCCCATGATGCTATCAACAGACAAACCTGCAACAATCTGGGTCTTCACCGCTGTCGTCACAAATCCGTTCAGTTATGTTGCCATCAGAGTCCTGGACCCATACCTGAAATTTCACTAACATGCCATTCATACATGTACAGGACGCAAAAATGCAAAAAGAGTAGCTTTGTAGTGTTCATGTGCAACAGTGCAAGGCATAGTATACCTCTCTTGGGAAGTGGTGGTATGTCAGCCGGGGAAGAAAGGAGAAATAAGGTGGCAAATGTGGCACGATATCATGTCCATGTGTCACTCGAATTGTGTTGGGTACATATTTGGCAAAGCATGAGGCGAATGCAGCATTGCCAACACGAGGCTGCCCGAAAGTCATGAGTTGCACACTGTCACTTCCAAGCTTCATCTATGGAGAGATGTTCTGTTTAAACTTGGTTCCAGGATTACAAATTCAAAAGTATCTAAAAGAGCACATTATCTCTGAAGCCCCTTGGGCCTTGGGATACTTACAGCAAGATCGAGCGCGCAAAAAGAAGCCATAGCTCCTCCCATTGAATGGCCTGTCACTATGACATTGATGTCTCCATATGATTTTCTTGCCTTGTTCACAGCACTTGTGATAGCTAGACGCAAAATTGTATTGTTATATGAGGAGAAAAATCCACTGTGCACCTTTAACCAGAGGAAAATGCAGACAAATGAATCACACTTTCAGTTTTTTTTTTCTTTTCTAAAGAGAATACGATAGAAACTTCATTGGCATTAACCTTTGCATTTGGCATGCCTGGATAACTTAGATCAAGCTGCTTCCATATCAAGTCTTTTATCCAATTCTGTACACTGGTTAATCAAATCTAAGTATAAATCACATCTGAACTGAAAACAGTAAATGCAAAGCAAACTCTGTTTAAACAGAGAACACTACAGAGGAAGCAATAGCAAATAGCTCAGTACGGCGGTACCTGTTCTCTTGAGTTCCCCTGATTGCAACGATTATCGAATTCAGATTATGAGCTACACCAACAAATGCCTGTTACATTATTCATCCAAAGAACAGTAGGTAAAGGGAAGGGTATATCTTGAAAAGCCTGATGGGTTTGATAGCAAGAGCCATACAATTTCATGGAAAATTTATGAGAACTTAATTCAAAATGTGGAGAGATAGGAACCTGCAAGCAGTTTTCCACATCAACAATTAGAGATCTCATCTCGAAGCCCTATTTCAACAATATGAAACCATATCAAAACTAGAAGCCAGCTTATCCTGGCCCATAGCCATTTTCAAGAACAACTTTATGTTTTAAAGTTTATTTCAGTAAGTGGAAGAGACCAAACTTGACAGTCTCTTACTTGAGTCAAGTCATTGCATCTTGAGCATGTCCACGTAAACAGAGCAGTTAAATCTGTCATATACACCTAGAAACAACAGAGAATCATGAGATTAAGCTTACTATGACACAAAAGGTGGAAATACTTGGAAACTGTGGATATTCAGTAGAAAACAGTCTGTCAAAAAAAAATAGG